TCAAGGCTTCATTTTTTATGTATTAAAAAACATATGAACGGTCCTCCTTGGTGGCACAGCGGGTTAAAGCACAGCACTAAGAAGCTAAAGCCACTTGCGCATGAGTTCGATTCCCGCCTGCCCCGGAGGTGACCACATGGCGCGGCAGACCTCTCCTGACCTGCCCACTGCTCCCCTCAGCAGTGTACTTGGCCGATCTGCCTGTTCTGCTCCCCACTCTGTCTCTGGTGAAGCCTCTCGCCACCCCTGAGCCTCTGGCCTGTACCCCAGTTCTGTATGCACAAATAATCTTTAAAAAAAAAAACATATGAACAAGAATAGAAGTTCAATATTTTCGCTCCTCAGCATATGTGTAAGTATAGCCTTAAAAAATTACGCAAGTTAAAGTAGGGGCAAACAACTAACTGTCCCATTTGAAAGTCCCTCATTCCTCGTAGTTCATAATCTTAGGAATTTAAGTGTAAATGTAGTAAGCTGGGGGAATTTTAATACATGGAAAATGAATGCAAGAATCATCTGTAGCCATTGGCTTTCTGCTCCATTGATTATTTTTCAAAGATTTATTGATGCACACAGGAACTGGGGTACAGGCCAGAGGTGCAGGGGGTGAGAGGATTCATCAGAGACAGAGAGGGGAGCAGAACAGGCAGATTAACTGAAATACACTGCTGAGGGGGCCAGGGAGTGGGTCAGGAGAGGTCTGTTGTGCCATGTGGGTCATCCCCCTGGCTGGGGATCAAACTTGTGCTGCAATGGCTGTGGACAGCTTCACAGTGTTGTGCTTTAATCTGTTGTGACACCAGGGAGGACTATCTATCGATTTTTAAAAATAATTATTTATGCATAAAAGAATTGGTGTGTAGGCTAGAGGTGCAGAGGTGAGGGAGTGAGAGGATTCATCAAAGACATAACGGGGACAGAACAGGCAGATTGACTGAAATACATTGCTGAGGGGAGCAGTGGGTGAGACAGGAAAGGTCTGCTGCACCATGTGGGTCAGCTCCCTGCCTGGGGATCGAACTCAGGCTGCAATGGCTGGCAATAGCTCGATAGTGCTGAGATTTATCCCTTTGTGCCACTAGGGAGGCCCTGTTCTACTGATTTTTAATTTCTGTCTTTTCACTGGTTACTACACATATTCACACACCACACATACACATAGCCCCATATACAGAAGTATGACCTAACATATACCTGTATCTATTTATATCCATATTATATGTTACATCCTGAACCTTACTATATCTTAGTGACTATGGCTTAGTTTGCCTTATTGCACAATATCCTAAGTTTATGGACAGACTTGAAGTTTCTAGTATTTGAGGGGTAACAAGGGGGAAGCTGAAGCAGAATTTAACACTTTTTTTTAAAGTCAAAGTAGTCAAAGTTAGTTGTGTATAATTTATTCTTGTACTTCCCAGCAATGTAGAGTTGGCAGATTAATTCCCCCTTTCCACAGATGGGAAATTGGGGCTAGAATTCTTAACATGCTTGGAATTTTAAATGTTAAAATGTCTTTTTCTTTTTCTTTTTTTTTAACAGTATGCTCAGAATTTAATTCTACCTCTAATGACTCTGAATATATCCAAAGCCATATTAGACACACTGAAACATTATTTCTACATTTACAAGCTAGATACCAAAATTGGGTTGCCACAAAGAGGCTTTCAGATCACTTTCCAGAATATTTTCAGCTACACTCTGAAGTTAGGATACTTACAATTCATGTTTCTGTAAACCACATCTGGCTTTTCAAGACTAGAAATTAGGAAAGTTTCTTTCTTTTTTTTTTTTTTTTAAAGATTTATTTATTTATTCGTACAGAACTGGGGTACAGGCCAGAGATGCGGAGGGTGAGAGGACTCACCCGTGACAGAGTGGGGTGCAGAACAGGCAGATAGACGAAGTACACTGCTGAGGGGAGCAGCGGGTGGGTCAGGAGAGGTCTGCCACGCCATGTGGATCTCCTCCGGGGCAGGCGGGAATCGAACTCATGCAGAAGCGGCTTTAGATTCTCAATGTTGTGCTTTAACCCGCTGCGCCACCAGGGAGGGCCCTAGGAAAGTTTCTTAATGAATATATGACCTATGAATTTATTGGTACCTAATTGTTGAATATACCTATTCAGTTTATGTAGCAATCAAACTGATTTTTTTCATTTAGAAAGAAGCCGATGATGTGAAGTTTCTATGGGAAACACAATTATATTCTAAAATATTGTATTATTTGTTTAACCTATGCACTTAATATGCACAAACCTTTACTTTTATTATTAATATGCAGCACTATAGTAATTAGGTACTATCATTAGTTTTTTTTTTTTTAATAGAACAGGAAAAGGAAATTAGGTAATTTTCCTAAGGTTACAGAACTACAAGTCACAGAGTTAAAACACAAATCTAAGTGTGAATCTTGGCTCAAATAAACAGATGATTATGATAGATTTACATCGTTGGCTATGTTCTCATTGGCTGTGCATTCCCAGTGCTGATACAAACGTATTATTCAAAACACAGCCTTTGGACTGGAAATATCAGCACCTCCTGGGAGCTTGTTAGAAATGCTGGATTCCAGGCTCCAATCAGACCTAGTGAATCACAGTCTGCACGTTAACACAATTCCCAGGTGAAAACGTGTATTAACCTTGGAGAAGCAATGGTAGTGGACACATTGAAAAGAGACCTGTTTCATGCCCCATTATTTTCTCATTGATCATTAGGGCTAAATTAATTTTCCCATGAGCATACTATAGAGAAAATAGTATCTGTGCTTCTGACTGGTAGATCGTTTACATAAGGAAATGCAAGAAATCACAACCAAGCCTGGTAGGCACATAAAAGGGATTTAATAACTGATAGATACTAAATATCTTTTAAAATAGTATTCTATTTATGTATCTGATAGGTTTAGAGTACCTGGAAAAGATAAGTCTCTTTTAAATAATTTAATCATATGTAGAAGAATATATTGAAATACTAACAATCAAAACACTTCCTTAAACTCTTCCCAAATTCATTTAGACTTTAGAAGCGCTGATGGACTCAAAAGTGAGATTATACAATCAATAAGCAGAGAAAACGGAGATTCAAAAGCTTAAGCACTGAGGTTTTTAATTATAAACAATAAATTGATCAAGCAGGATGAAGCAGAGGCTAGATTCTGAAATTTGGGCTTTCACCAATGAATACAATTTCAAAGAAATGTGGAAGAACAAAATGATGATGTAATTATCAGGGTTCTGCAAAGAAACAGAACATAGGGGTGTTCGTGGATTATTATAAAGAATTCCTCCAAGTACAAAGCTGACAGATCCCATAAAATCTGTAGCTGGCAAGCCAGAGACACAGAAAGAGCCACTCTCTTACTCAGCCTTTCTGTTCTATCCAGCTCTTCAACTGATTGGATGAGTCCCACCCCCATTAAGGACAGTCTGCTTTATTCCACCTATGGATTTAAAATGTCCTCCAAAAACAGTCTCATGGAAATACTCAGAATAGATATCTGAGAACTCCATGACCCAGTCACATTGATACATAAAATTAATGATCACAGATGATTCAATTTTTATTTTATCAGGTAAGGTCTTTGCAATGATCACTATCTCTTAAAATAAGAGGCATCTTCATTACTTCAAATGGAAATTTAAAAGGACATAATACGAAAACAATTCACAGAAATGTTTGGCTATATAAGCACTAAAATATATTGCCTTTACTTATCTTATTCGATGTGGACCTAAGAAACCTCCACCAACTTTAAATGAATCAGAAAACTTGGTTTACTCAACATCAGTTGCTTTCTTTTTGCTGTTGTATGTGCCTGACTCTTTTGTTGCAGCGTAACTATGAACCAATTATACACACACACACAATATTTCACATATACATACACATACATGTATAAACATACACAAACACAACACACATTGATTTTTCAATAATGCACACTTAAAACTTAGGTAGCAATATTACAATGTAATGTTACTATATTTAAAAAATATGACCGGCATATGTTAGCAAGTGTGTTTATACATTTATTTTTATTGCATCACAATTTTTGCTGAAATACTATTTACTTTGCTATCAGAAATTTGATAAATTTGTTAAATTTCAGTATATATATATCCACATTAAGTTCACACTCAAAGTCCAATTTTATCTTTCACCATACAGCTGTCCCCTTTACCTATCAACTTCCCTCCTATAATTTTTTTTGTAACTACTAATTTTGTAGTATTGATTTTTACTTTTGTTTATTTCATTCATTTGCTTCTTCTCATACCACATAAAAGTGAAATCACAGTGTCTTATTCTGACTTATTTTACTAAATATAATACCTTCTGGTCCATCCATGTTGTTGCAAATGGCAGGGTTTCACCTTTTTCATAGCTGAATAGTATTCTATTGTGTAGCAATACCACATCTTCTTTATTTAATTATCTTTCAATCAGCACTTAGGTTGTTTCCAGCCCTTGGCTACTGTACATAATGCTGCAATAAACATAAAGGTTTATATGACTTCAAATTAATGTTATTGATTGGGGGACAAATACTCAGAGAAGTGGGATAACTGACTCACATGGAATTTTTAGTTTTTTTGAGGAATCTTCATACAGAGGGCAAACACGCAAATGAAAAATTGTTCATCAATTCTTACTTTTAGGGAAATTGAGATTAAAACCATAGTGAACTATCAGCTATCAATTCACACCTTTGAGAATGCCTAATAGCCTAAAAAAAAAAGAGAGAGGATGTTGAGAGAAGGGAACACACATTCACTGTTGGTGAGAATGTAAACTGGGGTACAGCCATTGTGTAAAGTGTATGAATTCATGTTAAAATCTGCCTCAGAGGTCTGCTTGAGTAACTTTAGTCAAAAAAGAACACAGCCAGCCATTTCATATAAACATTTTATTAAAACTGAATCTTTCAATATATTTAAAATGACATGTTTCACAAATACTTTTAAAAGATTTTCTATATGCAATTATTGGCACAAAATTTTAAGAACAAAAATCTATGTTTATATATATATATATATTATACATGATATATATAATCATATCAATAATCTGGAATACCTGAGTTTCAAGTTATTGGTTTTCCAGATAGTGTGAAACATTTCTCATCCACTTAATAAGGACACTGCCCATTCAGAAAAAAATAATTTTGGTTAACATTTGCTCTCTCCCAGTGATCACACAAAGGGCTTCAATGGAGTTAAGGTTTATCTTCAGAAGCTTCTTCCAAGTGCAGGCTGGACTGTGATGAAAGGAAGGATTCCCAGGTAGCAAGGCACTGAATAATGAAACATATCAGGGTAGATTAATAATGGCTCACTCTAGTGCTAAAAGGATAAACAAATCCTGACATATTTATTCCTACAGCAATCAAGCAATCTACCCTACTCTTTCACATCAGTTTGCCAGACTCATTGCCATTTCCTATATCTTTTGCTTGTTAGTAAGTGTTACTACTGCTAAAGAGTATGCGATAACCCACCTTGACCCCACTGCCAGGAGAGAAAACAGCTAAACATTCAAGGAGAAATGGATTCAAAGAGGAAGGAATTAGGTATCTTAATTAAGGAGTGGTGATACAAAGTCTTAATTACATTTGAATCCTACTACATCAAGTGTGATTTTTTACAAGTTGATTAATCTCCATTATGTTTCTTCAGTTATAAATTAGGTTAATGATAGCACATACCACCAAAGCAATAGTGAAAATTAAATTTACATAATCTGTATCAATCTCTGTGCAATATACCTGGCACAAAGTCTGCTAAAACAATTAGTAATTATTAAATTGTGGTAGTCTGTTGTGACTCGGTGGTGAGACAGGGTCATTAATGTGTCACAGGAGATGAAAATGGGCCAGAGAAGTGAAGGTGATTGAGACACAAAGACATAAGTGGGATGTACATCATGGTTTTGTTCAGGGCTGATCCTCATACTAGTTTTGTGTCAGTTATTTGTATGAAATTTATCCTCAGCACAATTATACTAGTTTGTATTTTATATACAGAGGAAGGAAGATAAATGACAACATTTCACCTGAAATAATGCAAGCAAGATCACAGTGCAACGTTTTGAAGGTGGTGAAAGAATGAACCACATAGGCATGTATGTATTTTCCTATTATTTAAATTGCTTAAAATATAATCGACTACTTAATAACACCAACAAACTCTTACAGGGCATATATTTGTAAGTAAAATATAAGGCAGAAATGATCACTGAGGCCAGGAGAAAGGGAGTGGTGAAATATAATTGTAGTTTCCAAATCAGTGAAACAGTATATTACTTAAAGGTGGAATATATGATACATACAATGAGCCAATGTAACTACTAAAATAATATAAGTTGTAAGTAATACACTAAAAAGGATCTAAAATTAAATCATGTGAAACTGTTTATGCAAAAGAAGGAATAAGGAAAGTGGGAACAAAGGACAGATAGAATAAAAAATAAAGGGCAAGATAATAGACTCAAAGCTAACGATATCAATAATCAATGTAAATGTGAATAGCCTAAACACTCCAATATGAGAATATATTTTCTTATTAAATAAAAAAGAGCCCCATATATTCTGCTTATAACAATATATACTTCGAATATGAATATGTGAGTATTTTAAAAATCAAAGGATGAAAAAAATCATATGATATAACACATGACCTAAGAAATCTAAAGTGACTATGCTAATATCAAAGTATGTTTCTGAGCAAAGATTAGTATACAGGTATACAGGTAATTTCACAATAATAAAGGGGTGAATTCATTTAAGGACACAATTTAAAATACTTATAGTGAGAGTTTTAAAGTATATCAAAATAAAAAATAGAAGTAGAAAACAAAAGATAAATCTACTATTATAACTGATTTTGATATATTCCTCTATATCAAGAATTGATAGAGTATGTGGAGAGAAAATCATCAATGATACAACAGATTTGAATGTCACTGTCATCAACTTGAGTTAATTGATTTCTATAGAATAGAAGAACATAATTTATGGTGTGTTTGTGCACATACATGTATTATATTAGACCACATTCTATGCTAAACAAGAAGTCTCATAAAGTTAAAGCCAGTCATATAACTTTAAACTCTGAAAATATGTGTAAAATTTGATAGACTTTTTAGTTGAGTTGATCATAAAAGAGGAGAGAGAACACAAATGATCAGCTATTATGAATGGGAGGGATGACCCACATCAGATTCATTTATAGGGAAAAAAGAAATTATTATGAAATGCTTATTACTGATACATTTGTCAACAAACATGTTACAGGCCAATTCTGTGAAAGATACACATTACCAAAACTCACTCCAGAAAATACAGGGAAACCCAAATGAATTTGAATCTATTGTTAAATATCTTTCTATAAGTAGAACTCTAGGCCCAACTGGCTTCACTGGTGAATCCTACCAAATTTAAGGAAGAAATATTAATTCTACACCAACTCTTCAAAAAACCGAATACAGTCTTGCTTCCAACTTCACAAGGCCAAAGGCACTAACAAAGGTAGAAAACAACAGATCAATATCTCTCATATATACAGATGTAAAACTTGTGAACAAAATTTAGCAAGTCAATCAAGCAAATTTCTAAAAAGAATTGTCCATTATGACCAAATAGGGTTGCCCTAGGAATGTTAAGATTGGATTAACATTCAAGTATCAAGATAACTGACTTCACTGAATGAAATATTCTGTAAACAGTCACAGAACTGACATTATTTCAAATTATAATTTTCATTTTGATTAAAAAAAGCTATTGACAAATTAGGACTAGAGCTTGCAAAACAGCAACTTTTACAAAATAACACCATATATAATATATATTACAAGATAACATCATATATAGCTATGCATTTAGTATTAGCTATTAGTATTTTATTTATTTTCAATGACAAGAAAAAAGTTAAAACATCTTTACTGATACTCAAAAACTGTCACCAAATTTTCTGTACAATAAAGAAGACAAAAATATCAAATTATAAACACTGTCAAAAAAAATCTGTCCAATTAAAGAAAACTTCTGAGAATGAAGTTTGACAAATGAGAGTGTAGACCAATACTTCACATTTGGGATAGCCCCATTTCCCTATAAATGTCATTTCTTCTCAAGCTCTCTGGCCTCCTTTCTGCAAATCCATACACAATCTACTACCTGGTTACCCTGCAGGGCAGCCCAAAGCAATTACTGTTTTCAGGAGATACCTTATCTTTTTCATAACTCTGCCAAGCTCACATTTAAATAAACTTCTGAACGACCTCAAGGTACAACTCAAAATGAAATTTTGAGCAGTCTGCTCTATTTAGAATTCCTGTCAAATACGTGTTCCAAACTGCAGCAAAGATATGTCCTCAAGTGAACAAACTTCAGTCATCCTATTCTGCTCCAACTATTCTAGTTTAATTAATGTCTAAGAAAGATATTCAGTAGTTATTCATGCTAATAAGTGTTGTGAATTTATGTATTTTTTAATTTCTGAAGTAAGTCCTAAAAGTGAAACTTAGTGAAAGAGGCTAATTAGCTATTTAACTTACCTTCACATCCATAATACCAGATAAAATAACTTACATATTCTGAAATACAGATTACATGGCATTAACATGGAGGAACAGCAGAACACAACTGCTATATGCAATATAAATACTGGGCCACGCACTGACAGTTGCTTTACATATTACCTTCTTTACGTTTCCTCATGATTTTATGAATGTGTTACAGGTGAGGTAAGCTGAGCCCCAAAGGGTCAAGAATATGAGGATATTATAAATCTGAAAGTGGTACAGCTAGGATCTATCCATCAGCAAATGGAAAAGAATCTCTTCAATGATCACCAAGGTGCTTAATAGCCACTGAATTGTTAAGACAAGATCACTTTTCTTTTAGATAATGGAAGAAGGAAAATTTCAGAAGAGAAAGTGGGTAAGGAAATACATGACTGCAGGGTCATCAGGCTGACCAAATTTTAGGCAAATATATTATGGAACTTGAAGGTTTAGAGGTTGACTGTGCCTATCATACTTCTTGGGAGTTCTTTGTAAGTTTCCAGGAACATAATGCCTTTGAAGATGACTGAGTTAGTACATGCCAGGTACATGAAAGAGGTCAGTAAATGTAGATTCTATAAAGAATGTGTTGAATTTCTGATGCGAACATGCTGGTCTTCATAAAAACTGCACTTTTCAATTTAAATATGAATCAACTGACATCCTGGTTTCTACTGCTCTGTAAATGTGTTAAGTTCTGCTATGAAAGTGTGATTGCCACTCGGGTTTCTGAGTCTGCAAAGCAGAGGTCTGACCCCAAACTGTGTGGCTCCTGATGCTGCCGTTCCTCTCAGAATTCTGATAGTATGGGCTCTCCCTGGTGGTGTAGCGGGTTAAGGCTCAGCGCTGCAAGCTAATGGCACCTACTTCAGTGCGATCCCTGGTCCCCCCCCCCCATGTGACCCATATGCCACAGCAGACCTCTCCTGTCTCACCTGCTGCTCCCCTCAGCAGATCTGCCTGTTCTGCTCCCCATTCTTGTCTCTGCTGAATGCTCTCACCGCCCCCGCATCTCTGGCCTGCATCCTGGTTCTGGATGCATAAATAAATAAAGCTAAAAAAATTTTTGATAGCATGTGTTTTACTAAGTAAGTGTTAACTGCCCCCCTTGACAAGTGCTTAACATTAACCTGTATCTAATTAATGGCACAATTGTTTAGTTAATATGTGTGTATGTATATGTGTGGGTATACATATATATATACATATATATGTAAATGTATTATATATATGTAAATGTATTATATATTTTAAAAGAATGAACCACTCCTTAAATCTACTCTTTCTTGCTTTCTTTGGCTATGAAAAACTTAGTAAAAATTCAAGAAATGGATTGTTTTTACTACACAGTTCAATAATTTAATTGAGAATCTACAGTGTCCAATAGGCATAACTGGAAGATAAACAAACTTCAAAATCAATTCTCAAAGCCCAATGATACCTGCTTTGCAATCATAAATTTTATTTTTAAAAAAGGTATTTCTATTATATATAATTGCTTTTCATTAGTTTCTGCCAAACAATTGATTTTTTTTCTTTTAAATCACTACAATAAGTAAAGCACCTGGTTTGTATCAAAATTAGAGTAGCAACAGTACAAAAAAAAAAAATCTAGCAACATTGTCATCCTATTCTTAAACAGTACCTGTTAGCTCATTCTAATTTCAGACTCTTGTATTATTATGGGAGAATCAAAAGGAATTCTACCTTTTAGTGAAATTGGCATATTTC